AATTCCTTGCGCTCGGCTGGTTACATAATGACCTCAGAGATGGTCAGCAGGAAGAATCTCAGCAGAAAAACTTACACCGAACTGAAGACCACAAGGGGGCGCCATGACACAGCCTGACCCAACCAGGAAGGGCCTGTCAGGGCCCAGAGTGGCGCCCACATACATCTGCTAAAGAAGCTGGCTCCTCAGATCTTGTACAGTATCTTCTTCCCACCCTAATTGCAGGTGTCGTCTGAGCTCTCAGGAGCCACTTCAGGCCCCTCATCGGGGCTATCGGCTCGGGTTTCTAGAGCTCCATAGGATGCATGAGCAGGAGAGGTCAGTGGGGAGAGGTCCTGTTCCTGGAGGACAGAGGCCACAAACACCTAGAAAGAGGACAGGAAGAGTTACTCTCCATCACTTGCAGGTTTAATGAATATCTCTCGTTTGTTGTTGAAGGATATTTCAGTTCTGAGTGGAGAACTGAGGGATAGATTACCCTCCCAGGCTTCATGACTAGGGTTGTGAGATCTCTGCATTAGAGTTACCAGCTCCACCCAACTACTGCAGACTCTGCAATAACCGAAGAGGCCAAAGAGGGTTCATCCTTCCGGTGTCCACCCATAACTGAAACATGCATGAAAGTATAAAAAATACAGTGAGCGCTCCAATGGTCAGCAGCTGAACATTCAAGGAAAACACATAAAAGTCCCAAAAATATATATATAAAAAAAATGCAGCGCTGTGTGATGTTACTATATTGCGGGCAGATATAAATAATAAATGAAACCAATGCAAATGAATAAATAAATAAATAAATCACAGTCCAGTAATGGTGCTCGCTGATTCCCACTGCAAAAGTTAGAAATGCGCACTAACCAGAAACGTATTAATAATACGCATGTGTATATGATGTCATGGAGATTCCCCTCTCTTTTCTGGTCTGGTAATGGGCAGGAGCTGAAGATAGTAGAGATGAAGCGCCCTCGTGTGGCAAAATGGAGGTCCAGCAGGTCACAGAAATCCTTACGGAAGTGTGTGAAGTGGAAAATTCCTCCTCTCAAAGGCTGGTGCAGGGATCAATCTGGGTCTGCAGAAGCTGAAAAGGCTCATCGCAGAAGACACAGGAAAGAACCCATAGTGTAGTAGGTTGATGAAAATGATTTTATTCAAGAAAAACAGGAGTGTTCAGGAAAAACACAATGGTGCAGGTTTAATCAAATGACTGACCCTTTAAGATTAAAGATGGCCGCCGGGCCTCCACGTGGCACCGGCGGCGTAGTGTCAATGGCGTCCTGGGCTCCACCTGACGCATGAAGAAGTGCGTGCGCACGAAACGCATCAGGTGGAGCCCAGGACGCCATTGACACTACGCCGCCGGTGCCACGTGGAGGCCCGGCGGCCATCTTTAATCTTAAAGGGTCAGTCATTTGATTAAACCTGCACCATTGTGAGTTTTTCCTGAACACTCCTGTTTTTCTTGAATAAAATCATTTTCATCAACCTACTACACTATGGGTTCTTTCCTGTGTCTTCTGCGATGAGCCTTTTCAGCTTCTGCAGACCCAGATTGATCCCTGCACCAGCCTTTGAGAGGGGGAATTTTCCACTTCACACACTTCTGTAAGGATTTCTGTGACCTGCTGGACCTCCATTTTGCCACACGAGGGCGCTTCATCTCTACTATCTTCAGCTCCTGCCCATTACCAGACCAGAAAAGAGGGGGGAATCTCCATGATCTCATATACACATGCGTATTAATACGTTTCTGGTTAGTGCGCATTTCTAACGTTTGCACTGGGAATCAGCGAGCACCATTACTGGACTGTGATTTATTTATTTATTAATTTGCTTTGGTTTCATTTATTATTTATATCTGCCCGCAATATAGTAACATCACACAGCACTGCATTTTCTTTATATATAACTGAAACATGGTTCTTCTCTGGGGTCTGTATAGATGATCTGGGGAAACGAGGAACAGATCAGGAGAGACTCACACTGGACTGCAGTGTAGAAGATATGCTGCTGCGTTCTGTGTCCTGCATCATCCCATCGCCCTGCTCCGACATCTACAAAGGAAAATGGAAGAGTCAGTCTCAGTCATCGCTTCTAATGCCAGATCAGTAGGACAGCAACTCTTTCCGGGCCTCTAACAGTCACCCACATATGGAATAACTCATTAAATGACCTGCTATGTGTGGCCGTGCCTCCTTCTCTGCATGTCACTGTGGGGGAGGGCACAGATACATCATGGCTCCAATTACAGCCATTGCAACAGGTTTGTTTAATTGTCCTCCCCCCCCCCCCCCCCCCCCCCCCCTCAAAAGGATATATGTATTTCCAAACCCTCCCACTGCTCCGTTCAGTGCCAGGATGCTCTGTACTTCCAGGTATGGAGGAACATACAGCTCTACCCATGTGACAGCACTGGGCCAATCCATCCATAGCCTGGTAACTCATGGCTCACACAGAACTTTCTGGCAGAGCGGAGCAGTGGCCATATCTCAGTAGAGAGGACTTGTTGGTTTGCCCCGAGTGCAAAACATAGGTTCACCTTAAAAGATAAGTTCACCTTCAGTAACATGTTACACCCATTCTCAGGGTGTAACATGTTACTGTTGCAGCAGCCCCCGCACCCCCCAATCCCCCTTGTGACAGTGAGTGGGGGATCTTCTCCCCGCGCTTGCTGTTACAATGGTTAAAAAACACAGCTTTTCGGGGCTCCACCCACCTGGCCACATCATTCATTCACAGAATTCTGTGAATGGAAGAACTACAAGTACCAACAGCCTTTGCAGCTGTCGGCTTAAAGTTCTCAATGAACTACCAGGAGGCAGCTGAGTGCTCTAGGTCAGGGGTGGGCAACTGTGGCCCTCCAGCTGTTGGTGAACTACAAGTCCCATCATGCCTCTGCCTTTAGGAGTCATGCTTGTAACTGTCAGTTTTGCAATGCCTCATGGGACTTGTAGTTCTACAACAGCTGGAGGGCCACAGTTGCCCAACCCTGCAGTAAGTAGTTTATTGATGCTTCCTGTCAGTGTGTATCTACCTGCCAATACAAGGTACAAACAGACATCGTACCTTCGATGTGGAGGGGGTTAATACAGCTCAGGGGCTGTCACAGACTCATCAATACAGCCTGACTATGCCCACCCTTTCTGCCCAACTCCGCCATTCATAGAAGCCTTACTACAACTTCCATGAAGGAAACACGTTCTATGAATGCAGGGGATGGAGCTATCCATCATCCGCCCCCCTTTTTTTTTTTTTTAAGTCTGTGGATGTGTGAAAAACGAAAACCCGTAAGTGAACAAAAAACATGCTAGTGTAAAACCAACACAAAAAAGTGCACTTAGGGGTGTGCTTTCTCCACCCCCCCGAAGGGGCAGGACCTCTACCCTGATCCCCCAGGGCACGAAGCTCCTGACAGGGACTAAGGTTCCCATGTGGTCCACCTAGCCAAAAGGCCTGGCGGACCCCTTTCCTTGTGGCTAGCCTAAACCAGCCACCAAGTACTTGGTACGGAGGCTCTCCCAAAGAGAAGCCACCCTAGGGACAGGGGAGGAAGGAACCAAAAGGCCACACATCCTCCCCCTAGACTTCAGGTTTAGGCCCGAGGACCCACACCCTACAATCCGTGAGGAAAAAAAAACACACACATAAGTGAAAAGTGACAAAACGTGGGAGAAAAAAATAAATACATAAAAATAAAAAAGTGGCCATGCAATTGTGCACTGGCTAGGCCCTGAGGCCCGTAGCATAAAAATTGCCCGGGACTTAGCCAAAAGGCCTAGCCCTAAAAGGCGCAGTACAGGAAAAGTGTTTAGAACAGTGACCCCACCCCCATGTGTTACTAGGAGCACCCCTGAGGCGACCACTCTCAGGGGGCACTGTTCCTCGGACTTTCTGCCTCCCCGGCCCCTGGCCAGACAAGGTAGATCCGTTCAAACCAGGAGGAACTGGGCCCATCTGGCGTTCCTGGGGGGAATTACTCCCAGGCCCCAACTGCCTGTGGGTGCCTCAGTTTCTGTTCCAGCCTGTACTAACCATCAGGACCCCCCATCCTACCAGCAGGGGTACTATACAACCAATCATCCCCGCAAGCAGGAATGATGGTGGAGCACCCCTACTGGACACTGATAAGAACAGATACTACACTTGATCCTAGCCAAAAGGCTGAGAAGCGATCCATCATCCGCCCCTCTTGCATTCAGAGATCACGTTCCATTCACAAAAGCTGTAGCACAGCTTCTATGAATGGTGAAGAAACAGTGAACATAGTCGGGCAAACTTGATGAGAGCTTTTGACAGCCTCTTAATTCTATTAACACCAAGGGCAGACTGACAACTCATGGGGCCCCTGTGTCCATGCCCAAACTCAAAAAATGCCTATGAAAAAAGTACCAGGGGCATCTCGTGGGGCCCCCTACTGACCCCGGGCCCTCGGGCAGTGCCTGAGTTTCCAAATGTTCAGTCCGCCCCTGATTAACACCTGCCACAATGGGGGGGTTGAGATGTATGGACAGAGTAGGATTTGAAAGAAGAGGCATCAGCACAAGGGACTCTAAGTTATGTCCCTTGTGTCAATTTTTATTTTTTTTTATTTTAGCTGCAATGTTACTCTGAACATAAAGAAGAAGCCAGTGGCTGGCAGAGTGGGGGCAAAACCATGACATCCTTGGAGGGATAACCTGTGGATCTCCCTGCTGATCTCACCTGATAGCTGGACGGTCTCTTCGGTCGCAGCTTTCGCAAACAAAGTCCAAAGATGGAGAAGAGTAAACAGCAGAGCAGGGTGACGAATGTGAACAGCGTGACGGGGTGCGTGGACCCTGAAGACAGAAAGAGGGGAATCACTTTTATGGTGGGGGGTGGGTCATGTCAAATTGAGGGGTGACTTCATAACAGGGGAGGAGGGTCACTTCACTGCATGATACGGGAAGGGGTCACATCATCAAGTGAGGTGGGTCTCTTCATATAGCCTCACACATCCTTCATCAGGATGACAGTTGTGGCACTCAGGTCTTACCCAGCCGCAGGACAGAGAAGAAGAGCAGCCAGAAGACACACAGGATGGGAGCAGCCAAGAGCTGCTGTGCAGCGGCGCTGTGCAGGCTCGGGCTCAGCTTGGTGGGGATATAGGCGTAGTATATATTGTATCTGTCAGTCATGTGTTTCAGCAGCAGATATATGAGGCCTGCAATAAAAAGGAGCAATCATCAGCGCTGCATGGACACACTAAGCTCAGTGTGATCAGGACACGATGTACAGGACAGTATAAAGGGAACCTGTCACACATACAGTGGGCATAGGGCTGTATTTACCAGATCATCTTGTTCTATTGTGAAGAAATGTATGTCCTTACACCGCACACGGTATAAATCACATGATCGGCAGTGGCTAATAAGAAGGCAGTGAGTGAGTTTATTATTGTTTTCACCCAGCAACAAGAAGGATTCACTATGGTGCCCCGTGGTCACAGAGACTTCACATTAAGATCATCACTCTACTATATATAAAAACATTAAAAAAGAGCAGAGAGAAGAAATAAACAACAAAGGAAGGAGGAGGGAGTGTACCATAAACACATACCAAAGGGCACGATGATGGGGCAGATAATACTGTAGGTCATCACTACAGAGAAGACACATGTGGTCCAGGCATACTCCAAACCAAACTGGAACTCATAGGCCTGACTCTGCAAGAAAACATGTGAGGTCAGCCAGGATAAGTGTGAAACGCTCCCCCCACCCCCCTTTTAAGTCTGAGCCCCCTTAGAGTTGCAGTGCTGTAGACACCCATACCCGCTTCACGTGGAGACGCTCTGGCACTGATTTGGCGAGACATAGGCGTGCAGCATATACCGTGAGACCTGGAATTCTCAGTAGTTCCATGGCGGTGCCGATCAGACTGGCAGTGATAACATAGTTGACAAAAAATGCCCCATTATTGGGGAGGAATACACACCTGAAATATGGAGAAAACAGGCATCAGGACTACGGGAGGACCAGAGGATGGAATACACTGATGGCACAATACAGGGGCTGGCTGTACTGAGAAATAAATAGGGAAGGGGGGTGTATACAGAATTGGGGTGTATAGCGAAAGGATAAACTAAACAGAAAATGGGGGTTTATGGACAATTGGGGACTGTAGAAAAATTGGGGTGTATAGAGTATAGAGGGATGTATAGGGAATGGTAGGGTGTTGTACAGACTATGATGTTGGAGGTGGAATGGTAGGGTGTTGTACAGAGTGTGGTGTTGGGGGTGGAATGGTAGGGTCTTGTACAGACCGTGGTGTTGGGGGGTGGAATGGTAGGTCTTTTACAGACCGAGGGTGTTGGGGGTGGAATGGTAGGGTCTTGTACAGACTAATGATGTTGGAGGTGGAATGGTAGGGTGTTGTACAGAGTGTGGGTGGTTTGGGGGCAATGGTAGGGTCTTGTACAGACCGTGGTGTGTTGGGGTGGAATGGTAGGGTCTTGTACAGACCGTGGTGTTGGGGGTGGAATGGTAGGGTCTTGTACAGACTGTGGTGTTGGGGGTGGAATGGTATGGTGTTGTACAGACCGTGGTGTTGGGGGTGGAATGGCAGGCTCTTGTACAGACTGTGGTGTTGGGGGTGGAATGGTAGGGTCTTGTACAGACTGTGGTGTTGGGGTGGAATGGTAGGGTGTTGTACAGACTGTGGTGTTGGGAGGGGAATGGTAGGGTGTTGTACAGACCGTGGTGTTGGGGGGTGGAATGGTAGGGTCTTAGTGTACAGACCGTGGTGTTGGGGGTGGAATGGTAGTGTCTTGTACGGACCGTGGTGTTGGGAGTGGAATGGTAGGGGGGTTGGGGTGGAATGGTAGGGTGTTGTACAGACCGTGGTGTTGGGGGAGAATGGTAGGGTGTTGTACAGACCATGGTGTTGGGTGTGGAATGGCAGGGTCTTGTACAGACCGTGGTGTTGAGGGTGGAATGGCAGGGTCTAGTACAGACTGTGGTGTTGGGGGGGAATGGTATGGGTGTTGTACAGACCGTGGTGTTGGGGGTGGAATGGTAGGGTCTTGTACAGACCGTGGTGTTGGGGTGGAATGTGTTGTAAGACCGTGGTGTGGAAATGGTAGGGTCTTGTACAGACCGTGGTGTTGGGGTGGAATGGTAGGGTCTTGTACAGACCGTGGTGTTGGGGGGGAATGGTAGGTGTGTTGTACAGACCGTGGTGTTGGGGGTGGAATGGTAGGGTGTTGTACAGACCGTGGTTTGTTGGGGGTGGAATGGTAGGGTCTTGTACAGACCGTGGTGTTGGGGGTGGAATGGTAGGGTGTTGTACACAGACCGTGGTGTTGGGGGTGGAGTTTGGTGGGGGATGAATGGTAGGGTGTTTGTACAGACCGTGGTGTTGGGGGTGGAATGGTAGGGTCTTGTACAGACTGTGGTGTTGGGGGTGGAATGGTAGGGTGTTGTACAGACCGTGGTGTTGGGGGTGGAATGGTAGGGTGTTGTACAGACCGTGGTGGTGTTGGGGGTGGAATGGTAGGGTTTTGTACAGACCGTGGTGTTGGGGGTGTGGAATGGTAGGGTGGTACAGACCGGGTGTTGGGGTGGAATGGTAGGGTGTTGTACAGACCGTGGTGTTGGGGTGGAAATGGTAGGGTGTTGTACAGACCGTGGTGTTGGGGTGGAATGGTAGGGTGTTGTACAGACCGTGGTGTTGGGGTGGAATGGTAGGGGGGTTGTTGTACAGGACCGTGGTGTTGGTGTTGGGGACTGGGTTGGAATGGTGGTGGGGGTGGAATGGTAGGGTGTTGTACAGACCGTGGTGTTGGGGGTGGAATGGTAGGGTGTTGTACAGACCGTGTGGGTGTTGGGGTGGAATGGGTAGGGTGTTGTACAGACCGTGGTGTTGGGGGTGGAATGGTAGGTGTTTGTACAGACCGTGGTGTTGGGGGTGGAATGGTGGGTAGGGTGGGTGTTGTGGAGTACAGACCGTGGTGTTGGGGTGTTAATGGTAGGGTGTTGTACAGACCGTGGTGTTGGTTGGTGGTGGGGTAGGGGTTTGTACAGACCGTGTGTTGGGGGTGGAATGGGGTGGAATGGTAACTTGGGGTGTTGGGGTGGACAGAGGTGTGGGATGTGTTGGGGTTGGGGGTGGAATGGTAGGGTGTTGTACAGACCGTGGTGTTGGGGGTGGAATGGTAGGGTGTTGTACAGACCGTGGTGTTGGGGGTGTTGGGGTGGAATGGTAGGGTGTTGTACAGACCGTGGTGTTGGGGGTGGAATGGGTAGGGTGTTGTACAGACCGTGGTGTTGGGGGTGTGGGGGCTGGGAATGGTAGGGTGTTTGTACAGACCGTGGTGTTGGGGTGGAATGGTAGGGTGTTGTTAGACCGTGGTGTTGGGGGTGGAATTGTAGGTTTGTAGATGTTTGTACAGACCGTGGTGTTTGGGGGTGGGGGGTGGAATGGGGTTGTTTAGGGTGGTTTTGGGGGTGGAATGGTTAGGTGGTACAGACCGTGGTGTTGGGGGTGGGAATGGTAGGGTGTTGTACAGACACGTGGTGTTGGGGTGGGAATATGGTAGGGTTTGTAGGTACAGACCGTTGGGAGGGAATGTGTTGGGGGTGGAATGGTAGGGTGTTGTACAGACGTGGTGTTGGGTGGTGGAATGGTTAGGGTGTTTGTACAGACCGTGGTGTTGGGGGTGGAATGGTGGTAGGGTGGTGTTGTACAGACCGTGGTGGGGGTGTACAGACCGTGGGGGTGGAATGGTAGGGTGTTGTACAGACCGTGGTGTTGGGGGTGGAATGGTAGGGTTGGGTACAGACCGTGGTGTGTTGGGGGAAGGAATGGTAGGGTGTTGTACAGACGTGGATGTTGGGGTTTTAGTGAAATGGTGGGTATTTGTACAGACCGTGGTGTTGGGGGTGGAATGGTAGGGTGTTGTACAGACCGTGGTGTTGGGGTGGAATGGTAGGGTGTTGTACAGATCCGTGGTGTGTGGTGGAATGGTAGGGTGTTGTACAGGTGGTGTTGGGGGATGGAATGGTAGGGTGGGTGTTGTACAGACCGTGGTGTTGGGGGGAATGGTAGGGTGTTGTACAGACCGTGGTGGTTGGGGTGGAATGGTAGGGTGTTGTTACAGACCGTGGTGTTGGGGGTGGAATGGAGGGTGTTGTACAGACCGTGGTGTTGGGGTGTGGTAATGGTAGGGTGTACAGAGCGTGGTGTTGGGGGTGGAATGGTAGGGTGTTGTACAGACCGTTGGTGTTGGGGGTGGAATGGTAGGAATGGTATGGGGGTGGTGTTGTGGGTGGAATTAGGGTGGTGGATGGTGTTGGGGGTGTGTTGTACATTGGTGTTGGTGGTGGAATGGTATGGGTGTGTGTTGTACAGACCGGTGTTGTTGGGGTGGGGGTAGGGTGTTGTACAGACCGGATGTTGGGGGTTTTTTTGGTAGGGTTTGTTTGTAGATCGGTGGTGTTGGGGGTGGAATGGTAGGGTGTTGTTGTACAGACCGTGGTGTTGGGGTGGAATGGTAGGGTGTTGTACAGACCGTGTTGTTGGGGGGGGTAGTGGAAGGGTGGGGTGTACAGACCAGGGTGTTGGGGGGGGAATGCTAGGGTGGTTGTACAGACCGTGGTGTTGGGGGGGGGAATGCTAGGGTGTTGTACAGACCGTGGTGTTGGGGGTGGAATGCTTGGGTTACAGACCGTGGTGTTGGGGGGTGGAATGGTAGGGTGTTGTACAGACCGTATGGTGTTGGGGTGGAATATGGGGGTAGGGTGTTGTACAGACCGTGGTGTTGGTGGTGGAATTATTGTAGGGTGTTGTACAGACCGTGGTGTTGGGGGTGGAATGGTAGGGTGTTGTACAGAGCGTGGTGTTGGGTGTGGAATGGTAGGGTATTGTACAGACTGTGGTGTTGGGGTGGAATGGTAGGGTGTTGTACAGACCGTGGTGTTGGGCGTGGAATGGTAGGGTGTTGTACAGATCGTGGTGTTTGGAGTGAAATGGTAGGGTTTTGTAAAGACCTAGGTGTTGGGAGTGGAATGGTAGGGTATTGTACAGACTGTGGTGTTGGGGGTGGAATGGTAGAGTGTTGTATAGACTGTGGTGTTGGGGGTGGAATGGTAGGGTATTGTACAGACCGTGGTGTTGGGGGTGGAATGGTATGGTGTTGTACAGACCGTGGTTGTTGGGGGTGGAATGGTAGGGTGTTGTACAGACCGGGATGTTGGGGGTGAAATGGTAGGGTGTTGTACAGATCGTGGTGTTGGGGGTGGAATGGTAGGGTGTTGTACAGACCGTGGTGTTGGGAGTAGAATGGTAGGGTGTTTTTTACAGACCGTGGTGTTGAGGGTGGAATGGTAGGGTGTTGTACAGATCATGGTGGTGGTGTTGAGGTGGAATGGTAGGGTGTTGTACACATCATGGTGTTGGTGGTGGTGTTGGGGTGGAATGGTAGGGTGTTGTACAGACCATGGTGTTGGTGTAGATTGGTAGGGTGTTGTACAGATCATGGTGTTGGTGTGGAATGGTAGGGTGTTGTATAGACCATGGTGTTTGTGTTGTGGGTGTATAGGACGAATATCGCCATATCCAGATGAGTGGAACAGTAGATGGATATTGGAGGAGTATGAGGGACTATGGACAGACGAAAGGTAAGAGAGAAAAGTATGGGATAATAGACAAATATAGGGGTAAATGTCAGTCAGAAAATGATAGGGGTTGTATAAGTAAGGTCAGGGCAGGGCAGGGATGGAAGGTGGAGGAGGGTAAAAGTTGCACTTACTGTAACTTGACATTGGCTGACTCCAGGAAATGCACATCAAACAGCCAGCGGAAGAATAGGTCCAGACTAGGAGAGAATGGGAAGGACTGCTGTTAAGAAGAATATCAATAGATGGCACTAACCTGTATAGCAGTGTCACCCATATATCTGTGTAGTACCTGGTTAGGCCAAGAGAGGGCAGTATGATGACCATGAACACCAGGAAAAAATAACACTTGTGCATTGTTGTCCGGTTTTCGTTTGATCTGAAAATGAATCAGAATTATTAGAGAAGATGGATTAAGAAGAAAATGGTGGTCAGAGGGTGACAATGGTGGTCTAGGGAAGGTGATAATGACTGTTAGAGAAGAGTGACAATGGTGGTCAGAGGAAGGTGACACTGTTGGTTTTAGGGTGGCAAAAATGGTGGTCGAAGTAGGGGGCAATGTTGGTTAGGGAAGAATGATAATGGTGGTTGAAGGAGGATTACAGTGCTGGACAGAGAAGGATTACAATGGTCATCATATTAGAAAGAAAATGGTGATCGTATCAGAAAGACAATGGTGATCATAGGGGAACAACGATGGTGATTGGAGAAGGGGGGCGGCAATGGTGGTCAAAGGAGGATGTCATTGGTGCTCAAAGGATGAGAAGGATGGTTATAGGAGGGTGACAGTGGTGCTCAGAGGTGGATGACATTGGTGGTCAGAAGAGGATGATATTGGGGTGGAGGATGACAATGGTGGTCAGAGGTGGGTGACAGTGGTAAGTGGAGGATGACAACGGTGATCAAAGGAAGGTGACTAGAAGAAGATGATATTGGGGTGGAGGATGACAATGGAGGTCAGAGGTGGGTGACAGTGGTAAGTGGAGGATGACAATGATGATTGAAGGAAGGTAACTAGAAGAGGGTAATAATAAGGTTGCCAATGGTGGACGGAGGAGGATGATACTGGTGGTCATAGGGCAGTGTGGGTCTGTCATTTATGCAGTCTTCACAGTCAGCCCTTCACCTGGTCCACTGACACTCCAAGAATGCCGAGTAGTATACAATGAATGGCAGGCACACTGAGAATATCCAGAGCAGCAGAGTGGGCAGGAACTGGGTGATGACCGGATTCTAGAGAGAGTAGAGAAGATGTGAGAGCACCACCCTGCCCCACTGACCAATCTCACAGCCCACCCCACAGCAACCCACTGGATTGGATAAAATAAACACTCCACAGATATTACACGTAATACTGCTAAATGAAGGCTCATTTTCACAGATAACAGCCCTGAGGAAGGACATAGCTGGGGAGTCACGGACCAAGGACCAAGCAGTTCACTGAATGCCCCCAAATCCTCCGTGTGTCCACTCACCCTCAGATTCTCCACAGGATGAGTTACATTGAACCTGTCCATGGTGCTGACAATAACAGACGGGGTGGTCAGAAAGAAAAGCAGAATAAATAATGCCAAGTTCAGGCCAGCAAACCGAACCCACCACACAGGTCCCGACACAGCCAAGTTCTCCCTGCCAATGACAGAAAGACAAGGTCACTATACAGAATGGTCAGGAGGACAAGGACAGACATTGCCGCAAGTCTCATACCAGATGATGTCATTGGGTGCCGGAGCATAACGGACCCCCCACTGGTGCGAAAGAAGGACCGGAGTGACGGAAGATTGCTGAGGGGATCGCCGGCATCGTGGATGGACGTAATCCTGGATAATCCTGAGGACAGGAAATCGAGTTACTTCAATAATCAATGCCAAACAAAGTCTCCACCTATAACATTTAAATGGACTCTGGCTCCACCTATCACATAAATGGATCAGATGTAGGTAGTAAACAAGCTCCACCCATCAGATGTAAGAATAAACAAACAAACAAACAAAAACAAACAAACAAACAATCTCCACCCATCAGACACAGGGAGTAAACAATCTCTGCCTGTCAAACATAGGGAATAAACATTTTATGCTAGTCTTGGAACCAGAATACATTGTTTTATTACCTCTGATGGGCGGAGTTTGTGTACTTCTTCATCTGGTGGGTGGGGCCTCTTTATTCCTCAGTCTAATGAGTGGAACCTGTTAACTCTATACGTTTAATGCAGAGGTCCCCAAACTTTATAAAACAAAGGGTCAGTTTACTGCCCTTCAAACTTTAGGGGGGCCAGATTGTGTCCAGTGGGAGTAGAAAATGCCCTGGAATCGCTAGGAAAAAACAATACCCTAAGCTTGGTGGTCAGTGGGAGGAACAGTGCCACATCATTGGTGTCAGTGGGATAATTAGTTCCCCATTTCTGGTATCAGTGCCCCGTCGCTGGTATCAATGGGAGGAACAGTGCCCCGTCGCTGGGATCAGTGGGAGGAACAGTGCCCTGCTGCTGGGGTCAGTGGGAGGAACAGAGCCCCGTCGCTGGGATCAATTGGAGGAACAGTGCCCCGTCGCTGGGATCAGTGGGAGGAACAGTGCCCCGTCGCTGGTGTCAGTGGGAGGAACAGTGCCCCGTCGCTGGTGTCAGTGGGAGGAACAGTGCCCCGTCGCTGGGATCAGTGGGAGGAACAGTGGCCCGTCGCTGGGATCAGTGGGAGGAACAGTGCCCCGTCGCTGGGATCAGTGGGAGGAACAGTGCCCCGTCGCTGGGATCAGTGGGAGGAACAGTGCCCCGTCGCTGGGATCAGTGGGAGGAACAGTGCCCCGTGGCTGGGATCAGTGGGAGGAACTGTGCCCCGTCGCTGGGATCAGTGGGAGGAACAGTGCCCCGTCGCTGGGATCAGTGGGAGGAACAGTGCCCCGTCGCTGGGATCAGTGGGAGGAACAGTGCCCCGTCACTGGTGTCAGTGGGAGGAACAGTGCCCCGTTGCTGGGGTCAGTGGGAGGAACAGTGCCCCGTTGCTGGGGTCAGTGGGAGGAACAGTGCCCCGTTGCTGGGGTCAGTGGGAGGAACAATGTCCCATAGTTGATATCAGTGGAAGTAACAGCGCCCCATCATTGGTGTCAGTGGAAGAAGCAGTGCCTCATCATTGGTGTCGGTGGGAGGAATAGCGTCCCATCATTGGTGTTAGTGGCAAGAATAACGCCCATCGTTGGTGTCAATGGAAGGAATACTGCTTTGTATTAGTGGAATGAAAAGTGCCCCAAGAGCCGGAAAAAAGCAAGCAAAGAGCCACATCTGGCCTGCGGGCCGCAGTTTGGAGACCGCTGATCTAATGGATAGCACTTGTTTATTCCTAATGGGTGGAACTTGTTTGTTCCCTACATCTGATAGCTACAAATGATTTACTCCTTATATCTGATGAGTGGAGATTGTTTTTCCTATACATTTGATGAGCGGAGCCGGTTTGTTCTACAGCCTGACTGGAGCCTGTTTACCCTATACATCTAATGGGTGGAGCTTGTTTACCCTATACTTCTAATGGGTGGAGCTTGTTTACCCTATACATCTAATGGGTGGAGCTTGTTTACCCTATACTTCTAATGGGTGGAGCTTGTTTACCCTATACTTCTAATGGGTGGAGCTTGTTTAGTCTATATTCTGGTGGTTGAAGCCTCAATATAGTATCTTCAATATACTGCGCTATGGTATACATTAGAGCTTTAGTGTGTGACTGTGGTGAAACAGTGATGTAAGTTCTGTCAGTGCAGAGACTGATGTGACTAGCTCAGTGTTTTCTGTACAGCACTGCAGAGTATGCCAGAGCTAATTAAATATATAATAATAATGTGTGATTGTGATGGGAACATTAGATTGTACATTTTTGTTTATTACAAATCTTACAAACATAATAAAACCATATTTACATATATACAGAATAAATAAAAAAATAGATAAATATATATATAATTAAACAAAAATAGCTTACTTCAGCATAGAAAACAGGAACGGCTTTTTTGCCAGGAAAAAACAAACAGAACCAATCATATTTTAATATTATAATGCATCTCAACAAACCCTAACTCCACCTGAACCCCCCCTCAGGCTAAGAAACAATTAAATATTTATCCCATACATGCAGACTTTTTCCAAAAATTTGATCTTATAAAAATCTAGGGGACATGAAAGGACAGAAAGAGAAGCCACGCCCCCAGAGACTGACAGACAGCAGCTACGGGGACCTGACATTCCTCCACGACCTTGTCCAGGCCCCCGGCCGCCACCTGTCCTTCTCAAGACCGCAAATTTTCTCAACCTTACATAGAATGTTGTTCACCACCACCTTGGCAGGGAGGATTTTTTTGCGAATGGAAACCTGACACCGTGCATTCCACGTGAAGTAACAGATTACAAAGCTAACTAGAAAAAGTGTCTCGAAATCAAAATCCTGGTGAGTTTGAAAAGCCCCATAAGACCATTCTGCATAATTCAAGTAGGAAAGGTAAGGGATACCCAGAGCCCCACCCACCCGCTTGTAGACTTCTACAATGAAGGGGCTCTGAAGCAAGAAATGGTCCATCGTCTCCTCCACCCCACCGCACTCCACTCTTGGACAACCACAGTTCTCCGCAGAGCGATGCTTCAGGTTGCCCTTCACATAGACTCTGCCATGGAAAGAGAGCCAGGCCAAATCCCAAAACTTTAAAGGGTTTCTCTCCAGATTCATCAAATGGAGACCCTCCCGCATAACAGGGCCTGGGCAATCCCTCAAGGCCAATGGCTCGCTAAAGGCAGATTCAACAGCCCTCCTCTCCAGGGCCTTCCTAGAAAGAGACTTAATTTCCTCCGCCGTCACTCTCTACTGCTGAAGCATTTTCAGGCATGGAGCAAAATCAGCCGGGAACTTACCACGTTGGACCCTCAGGATTTTCACTGGCCCACCATTCTCCCACCTCCACAGAAAAGGCCTAAACCAGGACTGAAAAACAACAACCAACCAAGGCGATTCCTCTGCTAGCATTTTCCAGTCCTGGAGTAAAGTCCAGAACACTTGACATGCTCAGGGTCTCTGCTACCAAGGAGGTCAACATAATATGACCTGGCGATTTCCAGGATCCCTGACTTGGCCTTTATCAGGGAACCTGTACTATCAACATGGCCTACAACTGATTTAACTGCTCTACTTTGTTTGCAATTCTAGTAAGGCAAGTGATATTTCCCATAACCCCTTTCCAGAACCAAAGAGGCATGCTTGTCATATTGACACTTCCTGAGCAAGAGTTTAACCTAAGAGATCGCCCCCGGATCTCCATTATTTGAGAAAAGTCTATCAAGTTTCCTTCACAGATGCTGGTAGGTGACATACTGTTTATTTCTTCCTGTGGCCTTGAAAAACTGAACGATCCTTCGTTTTGTAAGCGCCCACCACTCTTGACTTTCTGCTGCAAAAGTCCATGATCGATACCTGTGCCTGAAAAAAAATCCTCAAAGAACTCACCTTCACATCGTCAAGGAATTCAGCTTCCAGGTACCCCTCCCCCTAGGCGGTGTATTGGGGCCATACAGAGTCACAGACAGAATACAGTGATCGGAAAACTCCACCGCCTGACACACTGGTGCAGAGCAGGTGGAATTCCCCTTTAAAAAAAAAAAAAAAAAACACACACCTATTCTACTCTGACTAGCACCTCGCTGAAAAGTGAATCGCATGCCATCTGGGCAATGAATGTGCACATCAACCAGACCTGCCTGTCCAGGCCGCCACAGACCAGCCTGGCTCCTGTACCTTTCCTGTCCTTAGTCCTAGTGACGGTGTTAAAATCACCACCAAAGATAACTTGCTGGGCTGTAAAAAAGGAAAGGCTTGATCTTCATGAAGAGGCATTTCCTGTCCCATTTTGTCTGGGGCCCATAGATGTTAATCTGGCGCAGGTCCTGTCCCCCCCCCCATGGAGATGTCTAAGACCATGCATCTCCCCATTTCTACCTTAATAATCCGCCGACAGGTTACCATGCCGGAAAAAAGTAACGCAACTCCAGTGTAAGGCTCGGCCGCAAGAGACCAGAGGGAGGAGCCACACCTCCACTCCTTGTTCACCAGATGAATATCTGCCAAACTAGACAACCTGGTCTCTTGCAAAAAGAAAAAATCAGCATCAAACCCGATGAGCAAAAAAAAGGACCATGTTACGAGCACTTACTGATTTTATGCTGGTAACATTAATGGTCGCCACCTTCAAAGGAGCAGGAACCGCCATCAGGATGATTGAGGTACACGTTTCTTAGCCTGTTTACCCCCCCTCCCTACTCAGAGACCCAACCTGCTTCAATATTCCTTGTGATTCCTCCTCCACGGAAATTAGAGATTCCTCACCAGAAGAGCCCTCACCTTCCACCTGAGAAAAAAACTCAAATGCATTTGACACATCCACCCTCACTGGTTCTGGAACACTGACATCCTTCCTCCTTCTCCTACCAGTTTTTCTTTTAGCCTCCAACCACTCCATATCCTCACTTGACAATCCTGAAGGCAGAACTCCCCTCCCCCCTGCCCCTTAGGACATCCTCAGACAAAACCCCCCACTTCTCACATCATTCACCCCGCCTCCCACATCATTCACCTCCCATTCCACACCAGCCACCTTCATCCCTTTCCCCCCCCTCCCCACCATCATCAAATCCATCACCACTCCACCCCATGGCGTCTGCTGACCTCCAGCTGGCATGCCAAGGAAGAGGGGTCGGTGCCACCATACACGCTGGTCCAGCACCCTTCACTACTCTAGGAGGAGCAACAGCTTTAGAAACAGACTTGACAGCCACACTTTCCAACACTGACACCTCACATGGCCTCACAAACACAGATTCTGACAGGACAGAGACACTAGGGTCCCCTGGTACAATCTCAGCCAACTCAAACTCTTCCCTATCCAAGAGAATGAATTCCTCCACTAACTCTGGCTTACTGTGCATAGCCTCGGGGCACTGGTTATGACCAATCTGATCACACAAGTTACACCTAATGATCTTATAGTCTTTAGCCAGATACCCCAGACCCTGACACAAAGAGAACTTCTGTGCTTTGGACAGGAAGAGCAGAAACGTCCTTTGGCTCCACATTTATAACATAGCTTAGGTTGTCCAGGGTAGAAGACGGTAATCCTATCTTTACCAATAAAAGCAGGAGGACGACAAATATTGGACCACATTTACACACACTCTCAACGTCATCGCCACCACCATCCACCCGTCCATATTCCTCTATCACTTTTATCTTTTTTAAGAGACACAACGTTTCACCAAACCTCAGCCAAATCCATAAGTCCTCCGGGGGTATAGATTCATTCCTAGTCAGGATAGTCACATTTGTAATCAAGGTGATACTACCTTGGGAACAAGCCCCTTCCAGTCCGACAGCCCCCTATACATCTGCTCATACTGCTCCCAAAACAAATAGAGTAATTCTAGACGCACAAATTACAAATCATATTCATAGGAACCCATCGGACTGATTAAAGCATAGATACCCTCAGCCTTAAATTCCATGGCTAGGATCCTGTCCACAACCAATCTCCTGATAGGTGGAAAACCTCCTCCTTCCCACCTGAGCTGCACCACATTCCTGCGTTTAAAGAAAGAAGGTGCGGTAGGCGACGACCCACAACTGGCTCCTCTTCCAGCAGCAGCGTGACTTTGTCCCGACACAGCCTTAGCATAGTTCTTACCCGGAACAGATGACACATAATTGCCAGGTTTAGGCACATTTACCAGAAGATTATCCACCACCTGATCCTCCATCTTCCCCTCCAGCACAACATTCCCGCTCATGATACTCCCAGAAGTACCACAACTACCAGCAGTTCATTTATCAGATAAAGTCCTCTGTCCAGAAAAAACACCTGCTGTTTTAGTGTCCATACGTCACTCCTGCTCCACGGTCTTAGTGGACATGCGGCACTCCTGCTCTGCAGACTTAGTGTCTATGTGGGACTCCTGCTCCTTATTCTCACAACCAACAAGAACCTCTGTAACTGGATACCCACCATCTCCTCCTGCTTTCCTTGCCGAATACAAGGATCTGTCAGCAGAGATGCAATCTCTTTCTCTGTAGCAGTAACCACAGGAACGTCCTCCACACACTGAGACAGATTCTCCATAGGCACATCCTCACACGCATTTTCCTGAACTGTAAGAGTTCCAACATGTCCTCCATCAACAGACATTGTAGCATTGCCACCATCTTGACCAGGCTTAACAAATGATAACTGCTCCACAACTTTCTTCCTTACAGGCCGAGGGACAACATCCTCCTCCTCATCTTCATCAGACGGGTCCGTGGAAAATTGGAACTTCCTGCCACTCAAGGGAGATTCCATTTCCTCAATGGCTTGCAGCAATCCGCCATTTTCCTCAACCTCCTCCTGAGATGACCCAGGCTGCTGGGGAGGAAGGGGGGCAGATACAGACTCGGATGCGACAGATCCTGAGACAGAGGTAGTACTGGGGCCAGCATGTGAAACCGTTTCCTTACCCCCCCATCCATATTGCTCTGATATCCGACCTCTGGCTGGTACTGGCGCAGGCACCTTTCTTCATCTGCTGGAACCTTTCCTCATTCTCATACTTCTCTCTGATCATCACTGCTGCTTTCTTTCAGAGAAGTGACCAACTTCTCCAGCTTCTTCAATGCCTCCAGAGACTTAATTTAGGAGTCTTGCCTCACACTGCTCCAGGTCTTTCCATGCAAAGTTTTCTTTTTCCTGAATTCAGCTTTTAGGGCAGCAAGCTCCTGCTCCTCTTTAGTTATGCAGCAAAGTTTATTCACCGCTCTGTCCTGGAAAGCTGGTGAGGATTCACCCTGCATAGGGACAAGCCCAGGATCCATGACAGCTTGACCATGCGGCGTAGGCCTCAGCCCCTCTGGAGAGCCTCCATCTGGGTCATCCCCAGCTTCTTGCATGACACCTGGGGAGAAGCCGGAGGGAGAGCCCCAAGATTGGTGTCACTCCTGGCTGAGAGCACAGCAGAGTGAACCAACAGCACCTTGCAGAGTAGCACCACTTGCTGGAGAGACGGATATGGCTGGCTCAGCCAGGGGCGGACTGACAACTCATGGGACCCTCGGGCAATAGGGGATCATGGGGCCGTGTCCTTGCCCAAACTCAAAAAAGCCTATGAAAAAGGTACCAGGGGCATCTCATGGGGCCCCCTACTGACCCCGGGCCCTCGGGCAGTGCCGAGTTTCCAAATGGTCAGTCCGCCCCTGGGCTCAGCGTTCTCTGTATGACACTAATAGCGTGTGACTGTGGTGGGGACATAAGAGTGTAAGCTCCTCTGGTAAAGAGATTGATGTAAGCCATAAAATGTTTCCTGAATACGTAAAAATGCAGACGACAAAATATATAAAAAGTAAAAGATGGAATTTTCCTACCAGGTGCAGAGTATAATATAGAAAATACATGAAGCCAGTAAATTGGGTGATCTCTGCCACTCACACTGCTGTCATCCTCTCATCCTGGAAGGTGACAAATGCTGCACCCAGCCTCTTCAGGGGGATTCGGTTCCTCTCGGCTGTAAACTCATCAGTCAGCTTTTCCTCCAGCTCAGCATAATACTGCTCTGCCTCCACCTGGTGGAAAAGACGGGGAAGTGTGTTCACAGAAGACAGATACGGTACATTTGTCAGTCCTTACAATGATTTTATATTCATCTAAGAAATCAATGTACAATGTTATCACTACACATGAAAACAAGATACAGATGTAAGAAAATATGCCGGAACATGTCAGAGGTATAAAAGTGTATAATAATAAAAATGTATGACTGGAAGGACATTAGAGTTCAAGCTCTTCTGGTGAAAACTGATGTAACTGGCTCAGTGTTCTTTGTACAACACTGCAGAATATGTCAGAGCTATTTCAATGTATAATTATAATAACAGTGTGTGACTGTGTTGAGGACATTAAAGTATTCTGACTGGAGGGGGTGGGAGTCTCCGCTTTCAGAATACAATAATACAGTGGGACAGATCAGTACGTGAGTTTCTTTTGGAACTGTGTTGAGCACTTTTGGCCCCACAGATTTTAATGGAAGTGTCTGCAGTGGCATAGCGTTGTTTGTCAGTGCCCGTAGCAAGGCAAGCCAATTGTGCCCTAACAAAAGAAAAAGAGAAAGAGACAAAAGGAGAAATAGAAAGAGAAAAAAAGAAAGTAAAAAAGAAAGAGAAAAGGAGAAATACAAAGAGAAACAGAGAGAAAGAGAAATAGAAAGAGAAAAAGAAAGAGAAAAAAAGAAAAAGAGAGAGAAAAAGAAAGAGAAACAGAGAGAAAGAGAAAAAGAAAAAAAAAGAGAAAGAGAAAAAGACAGAAAAAAAGAAAGAGAAAAAGACAGAAAAAAGAAAGAGAAAAAGACAGAAAGAGAAAAAGAAAGAAAAAAGAAAGAGAAAAAAAGAGAGAAAAAGAAAGAAAAAGAGAGAGAAAAAAAGAGAGAGAAAAAGAAAGAGAAAAAGAAAGAGGAAAAAGAAAGAGAAAAAGAAAGAGGAAAAGAAAGAGAAAGAGAGAGAAAAAGAAAGAAAAAAAAAGAGAAAAAGAAAGAAAAAATGAGAGAGAGAGAAAGAAAAAGAGAGAGAGAGAAAAAGAGACAGAGAAAAAGAGAGAGAAAAAGGAGAGAGAGAGAGAAAGAAAGAGAAAAAAAGAGAGAGAAAAAGAGAGAGAAAAAGAAAGAGAAAAGGAGAAAGATACAAAAGGCGAAATACAAAGAGAAAGAGAAATAGAAAGAGAAAAAGAAAGAAAAAAAGAAAGAGAAAAGGAAAGAGAAAAGGAGAAAGATACAAAAAGGAGAAATAGAAAGAGAAAAAGAAAGAGAAAAAGAAAGAGAAAAAGAGAGAGATAAAGAGAGAGAAAGCAAAAAAGAAAGAGAAAAATAAAGAAAAAATAACGAGAAAAGGAGAAAGAGACAAAAGGAGAAATAGAAAGAGAAAAAGAAAAAACAAAGAGAAAAAGAAATACAAAAAGAGAGAAAAGGAGAAATAGAAAAAGAAAGAAAAAGAAAGTGAAAAAGAAAAAGAAAGCAGTACTTTGAACGCATCCCACCCGATCTTCTCCGAGGACCTGGCTGGGGTCAGACTGTTGGGGGGGTCCAGTGTGAGCTGTGATCCTCCTCCCCCACTGCTTGAGAGTAGCCAGTTCCCCTCCCTACACATGAGCCGGACAGAGTGGGGAGCTGCAGAGGAGCCAGAACTGGGATTGGTGGGGTCCCAACTGAAAACGCTGCGGGGAGTCCGGGCCTGGCCCATGGTGGAGATGGTGGTGGCAGCAGCACAGAGCCGGGCACCAGGCAGCCAACACCACAATTGGACGATGGTCAGTCACAGTGTGGGACTTGGGACGGCGCAGGACTAATTTCTGTGCCCCTTTAAATGTTTTCACCCGGGGTGACCGCCCTGGCTGCCCTCCCCACCGAGCATTTGTAAATGTGAAACTCAAGCCTTTCTGCGTGTTTCTGTGCCAGAACAACTGTTCTCTTCTGCTCTCCTCCCCCTTAACACAAAGACTCCTTGCTTGCATATCAATGCTAACTTTAAAAAATGCAGGTCCACATGCATAAAAACCTGCAAAAAAAAAAAACCTGCTTCCAAATCGCTTCGAAAACTCTCTGCTCAGGTGTGAATGGGGATAACTCTCACGCTATGTACAGAAAGTGTCTGCAAATCTCCCCGAAGGTATGCAGACAGAAAAAGTAAACTGACAGGGATTATAGCCCCACCCTTCTCCATCTACAACTAAACAAACAAAATTGGCTCTACAGATACTTAGAAGCAAAGCCATTCCTATAGCCAACATTTACATAGGCGTTATACAGTATAAACCAAAAGTACAGCTCCGGTCTGTCCCGAGACCCACATAAACCCTCACTGGGTGATGCACAGCTGTCAATCACACCCCACAAGGCATAGACAGCTCCGCCCTTTCTGGGACAGTCATGTGATACTGCTCTCAGCAGACAGGGGGAGTGGTTAAATAGAGAGGAGGGCTTAAATTCTGACTTTGCAAAAAGTCAACAGCTACATATCAGAAGCAGGAATGGCTAGTCGGCCCAGGTTGGGCATTTTGCTTAGTATGCAGACAAGGACGTTCACTCTGAATTCCCCCATATGTATAGTCGTTCCACTGCAGCGACCTAGAAAGTAACAGGAACAGCAATGGCAGCCCCGTATTCCCATGGATAGGGTCACTCTCTGTCCATTATTATTAGTCCTGCTATGCACTGGCACACTCACGGTCTGGAATCCGCAGCAGTCGCAGGGGCAGAGGCGGGCACACGGGTGAGTTTTTATTAAGATCTTCCCCTCATTCTGAGACTGTCCAGCGAAGTACATGCGACCTTTCATGGCACGCCGCCTGGGGAGAAGCAGAAAGATGGGTGACTTGTACAGAAGGAGCAAAGAGGGTGTAAGGGATGATGGAGCGTTTTCTCACCTTTCCGTGTCCAGTTTCATCAGCCGTCGGACGTCATAACAGAACTGGACATCGGTGACCGTACAGCTGGGGTACGCCTCACTGCGACAAGAACACATGGCGGGATCAGAATTGGGGGGGCAGAGAGGACCTTATGGGGTCCTGTCATTTATTGGGGGAGGGAAGAAACTACTTACTGGAAGTGTTTGGTGATAAGGGAGGAGTCTGATATTTCTCGTGGGATTCGGGTCACCATCAGTGTTCGCACCACCTGGGGAAAAAAAAGAAAGTGCGACCAATCAGAGGCTGGTGAGCAGATATTGTACAGGTCCATGGGTGGTGATGGTCCTTGAACACCAACATGAAGGTTGCTCTGTGCCAGGTGCTCGAAGCCTCTATAGACAACCCAATGATGGCGTCACACCCTCCTTACCTTGTCATCCTCCCGGTAATGTAATGAGGCCGAGTGATGGCGCATACAGAGGACGGTCAGCAGGAAATAGAGGAGAGCGAAGATACTGTGCAGCCAGAGAAAACGATCCCTAAAACGGGGACAAACACTGCCAGTCACAGAGCATTACCGCACCCCAATGTGTGTCCATCAACTACTCACTGCACCCCATTGTGTGTCCACCAACTGCTCACTGCACCCCAATGTATGTCCACCAACTACTCACTGCACCCCAATGTATGTCCACCAACTGCTCACTGCACCCCAATGTCTGTCCACCAACTACTCTCTGCACCCCAATGTCTGTCCACCAACTACTCACTGCACCCCAATGTCTGTCCACCAACTACTCACTGCACCCAAATGTGTGTCCATCAACTGCTCACTGCACCCCAATGTGTGTCCATCAACTGCTCACTGCACCCCAATGTGTGTCCATCAACTACTCACTGCACCCCAATGTGTGTCCATCAACTGCTCACTGCACCCCAATGTGTGTCCACCAACTGCTCACTGCACCCCAATGTATGTCCACCAACTACTCACTGCACCCAAATGTGTGTCCACCAACTACTCACTGCACCCAAATGTGTGTCCATCAACTACACACGGCACCCCAATGTATGTCCACCAACTACTCACTGCACCCCAAAGTGTGTCCAACTACTCACTGCACCCCAATGTGTGTCCATCAACTACTCACTACACCCCAATGTGTGTCCAACTACTCACTGCACCCCAATGTGTGTCCACCAACTACTCACTGCACCCCAATGTGTGTCCATCAACTACACATGGCACCCCAATGTGTGTCCACCAACTACTCACTGCACCCCAATGTCCGTCCACCAACTTTTCAGTGCACTCCAATGTGTGTCCATCAACTACTCACTGCACCCCAATGTATGTCCACCAACTACTCACTGCACCCCAGTGTGTGTCCATCAACTACTCACTGCATACCAATGCATTTAAACTGACTGCGCTCACTGCACCCCAATGTATGAACACTGATTGCTCACTGCACTCCATTGTATGAACACTGATTACTTACTGCACCCCAATGTATGAACACTGATTACTTACTGCACCCCAATGTATGAACACTGACTACTCACTGCACCCCAATTCATTTAAACTGACTACTCACTGCACCCCAGTGTATGAATACTGACTGCTCACTGCACCCCAGTGTATTTACATTGACTACTCACTGCACCCAAATGTATGAACACTGACTACTCACTGCACACCAAATTTACTCTTACAATTCACTACAGCCCAATGTATGAACACTGACTACTCACTGCACCCCAGTGTATGAACACTGACTGCTCGCTGCACCCCAATGTATGAACACTGATTGCTCACTGCACCCCAATGTATGAACACTGACTGCTCACTGCACCCCAGTGTATGAACACTGACTGCTCACTGCACCCCAGTGTATGAACACTGACTGCTCACTGCACCCCAGTGTATGAACACTGACTACCCATTGCACCCCAATGCATTTAAATTGACTACTCACTACACCCTAGTGTATGAATACTGACTGCTCACTGCACCCCAGTGTATTTACATCGACTACTCACTACACCCCAATGTATGAACACTGGCTACTCACTGCACCACAATGTATTTACACTTACTACCCATTGCACCCCAATCCATGCACACTCCCTACCCACTGAACCCCAATGTATGTACACTGATTATCCACTGCATCCTAGTATACAGCATGTACACTGAATGCCCAGTGCACCCCAATGCATGCATTGCTTCCTCACTGCTCCCCAAAACATTGAGTACTCACTGTGTGGGAACGTTGACGATGGTCGTACGCCCAAACTGAGCTGGACCGTCTCCTGCAGACACAGAGGGAGGACTGTTAGGGAAAGACATACAGAGAATAGGGGGCTAATGCCCAGAAATTGGGGGTCACTCACCCAGCAAATCCCCAGAGAAGTTCACCGGCAGAATGATGGAGACGGAGAAGACACACATGAGTAAGGTCAGCACTAGAAGATGGCGCTGATAGGAGAGGTAAGTGATGGCATCTACTCCACACTTACTCTGAATTTCCTCATCCCTGTAAGAGGACAAGACACCACTACTGAGGGAAATATCACCTACCACCAAAATCTACCCTCAACCTTCTCTCTGCCAACTCCCCCCCCCCCCCCCAACTGCTTATCTACCCATCCTCCACCAAACTGCTTTAAGTGCCCATCCTCCCTCCACAATTTCCCCACCCCTCCTCCTATACACTTTGCCAACCACCGATTCCCCTCCTCTTCCCAAAACTCAACCAAACCCCCCAACTTCTCTTCCCCCCTTTATCATATATTGCCATCTGCCCATTCCCCTTCACCATACCTTACCACTCGCCAGCCTTTCCCTCCTTCCATGAAACTAATCAATTGCCTATCTCCTTCCACCATACGGCTTGTTGCCTAATTGTCTCTCCACCTCCCGCTTTAAGCCTTTGTCCCCCGCTCCCCATGAAGGACTGGCACCTTTGGGGAGCGGGGGGGGTACCCGAATTTGACAGGTACCCGTTCCCAATTCTGCTGCAATCGGCTAGGTGATCAGAAGCGGAAGTCGTCCTCCTCCCCTCCCTCCCCGTAGTCGTCTGGGACACATGACAGGTCCCAGAAGACTACGGGGCCATTCACAAAGCGCAGCACTTCTTGCGCATGCACAATGGGCACCCGGCTATGAAGCCGCAAACGGTCACAGCCGGGTGCCCACACTGAAGATGCTGGTGCCAGGGAGAGAAGACGGCCGGTGAAACCAGCGGTGGTGAGGACACTTCTGGACTGAGGGACAGGTAAGTGTCTGTATTTAAAGAGTCAACAGCTACAGTTTTTGGAGCCGCTGACTTTTTTTTTTTTTTTCAGGTGGAACTCCGCTTTAAAGTAGAACTCTAGGCAAAACTTTTTTTCCCCATTTTGGATAGAGTAAGGGAAGTTTATAACCCTTGTGAGGTTTATATTTACCATCTGTGTCCCATTGGGGAGATTTGTCTTCACTTCTTGTCCTATTGCTAAAACAGGAAGTGAGAAAAAAATTAAGGGAATCTCTTGGGGCCCCCGCAGGTCACCAAAACTAGTGTCCTCATTGGAGGATTTCCCATCTATTACTATTCTGGGGACAACACAAAATGTGCGATTTTCTTCTACTTTCAATGATAATGACAAACAGGACAAATAGAGAGGGGGGATCTCCCTAATGGGGGCACAGACAGCAATAAAAACTGACAGAGGGTCTAATCCATCTCCACTCTAACCAAAACAAAGAAAAAAAGTTTTGCTTTTAGTTCTATTTTATTACCTAACCAACCACTTAACCCCCCTCCCCCCCCACCACCATCTTTTCCTGTACCGCCTTCACTGTGACACCTCTCACACCACACCACCCGATACCCTTCACTCTCTAGAATCTTTAACCAAGATGACAGGTCCTCACTTCATTTGATAAATGGAGCTGAGCCAGGAGCAGAAACCCTGCAAGAGAGGAACCACGCAGTATTGTATATTATATATATTCTATTATTATTGTATAGACATGCACACACCACACACAGCACAGCAGCATACATCACATTTTACACTATACTATAGGATGGATGGTCTGATTTTTGGCTGAAATATTCTGACACCGATTATTTGGTATCTTTTGTGGTGCATGGGTATGTTTTAACATTATACAGGAACTGCTATTACTATGGAGGTCAAGCACAACAGTTTTCACAAGCCAGGAATAACTAGACATGGGCGGTCTGCTCCAAATCGAAATTTGGGCACATTTTTCATTACCAAAATACATCCAAATTTCTGAATTACAACAGTAACAAATCCAAAACAACGAAACGAAATTTGGATGAAATTTAAATTGAGTTCGACTTGAATCGAATTTGAATCCGAAAAGAATAGAATAGAACACATAAAAGTTTATATGTATGATGTAAAAAGATTTATGATGGTTTTGTAAGGTATTTTTTTTTCTTAAAAGAAAATTTAATAAAAGATATGAGAAAAAAAAAAAAAGAATAGATTAGAAAAGAATAGAAAAAAAAACAATAGAATAGAATAAAATTATTATTACATTATTATTACATCGAGTTTATATAGCGCCAAAGGGTTTGCTCAGCGCTGTACAATATAGGGGGGACAATACATGGCACAGTACAACAATAACAAACAACGTACGAGGGGTAAGAGGGCCCTATTCTTTCAAGCTTACAATCTAGGAGATATTCCAAGATTTGAATAAAGTACATTTGAATTCAAATAGAATAAATTAGAAAAGAATAGAATTTGATAGAATATTATTACATCGAGTTTATATAGCGCCAAAGGGTTTGCTCAGCGCTGTACAATAGAGGGGGGGACAATACATGGCACAGTACAGCAACTACAAACAGCACACGAGGGGTTAGAGGGCCCTACTCTTTCGAGCTTACAATCTAGAAGGGAGGGGGTAGTGGTACAGGAGGAAATGGCTGTGGGGGATGGAGTGGTAGGAGGAATGAAGGAGAACGGCTGTTAGGTGAGGGTGGGGTAGGCTTCCCTGAAGAGGTGGGAAATAGAAGAGAAAAATAGTAAGAATATATCCGTCTTCCGAAATTCGAATAGAATAAATTTGAATGCCAATTCGAATTCCGATTCAAATTTTCTGAATACGGTCTAATTGAATTTGAATCGAATTACAAAATTAAACAAAATGAATTAAACAAATTAAACTAAACTAAATGATTTAGATAACGAATCAAAACTAAACTAATTTTTCCGTTCTGAACAGGTCTAGAAATAACATAACATTTTAATGATCCTAGTAGGGGGTGAAGGTAGGAGTGAAAGCATGTGTGGGGGAGGGGTGAAGACACGAGTAGGGGAAAGATGAAGGGAAGAGTGGGGTATGGATGAGGTCAGATTCTGGGGGATGAAGGCAGAAGCAAGAGCATAGGTGGGGGAGGATAAGGGTTCCAGACTCATCACTTACCAGGTCTTTATTACTGAGGTCTGGTGGGCTGGTTTCACATGGTGATTTCTCCTTGTCGCTTGGCTCCCCATAGAAGAGAGAGGTAAGGCTGGACCAAAAAACATAAGTTCAGTTTGAAATCTGCAAATGTTCAGTAGTCCCTTCACCAAGATAGTCACCACCTCAAACCCACCCAAGAATCCCAGAAGCCTCCACCAAAGCCCTATCCCATCTGCCACCACTCCAGTTCCATCCTGTGTGCCTCCATCTCAGCTCCATCCAGAGAGCCTCCAACTCAGCTCCTCAAATGAACCTTCACAAGGCACCGCAAGGAATCTAACACTGAAATTGTCTACACTCATATCAAACACAGTGCAAGTGGGAAAGATCATGAGACATTTTAGGACCCACAGAGGTAACAATTTAAGAGCCTCCAAACAGTAGCCCAGCAATAAATAAGGAGATTATCACAGAATATTTACAGTTGTGCTCAAACGTTTGCCTCCCCTTGGAGAATTGGTCATAAACAGTTTGTACCATTTTTAAAGAGAACTTGAGTGAGTCGGCAAAAGCCAATTTCTTCTGCTTCTTATGGGATTCACATTCTGTAACTGTAGGTCATAACAGGAGGTTCCAATCATTAAACAAAACATGGCAACAAGTAAACAAATGAAATGCCCTCTGTTCAAAAATCTGCATCCCCGTAGTTTTTTTATACTGTGTTTTGCCCCCTTTACCATCAATGGCAGCGTTCAGACTTTTGTACTAGTGGTCTATGAAGCCCTGAATTCATGCAGGTGGTATAGCTGCCCAATCGTCTTGGCAAAATGCCTCCAGATCATGCAAAGTCTTTGGTCATCTTGCATGAACCGCAGGTTTGAGATCTCCCCAGAATAGATCGATGATATTAAGGTCAGGAGACTGTGATTGTCACTCCAGAACCCTCACTTTTTTCAGCTGTAACCACTGGAGGGTCAACTTGACCTTGTGCTTAGGGTCATTGCTGTGCTGTCCAAAGGCGTCGCAGGTGCAGCTTTTGTACAGAAGAAAGCAAATTGTCTGCCAGTATTTTCTGCTAACATTCTGCATTCACCTTGCCATTAATTTCACAAGACTCCCCATTCCTTTAGAGCTCACACCCCCCAAAACATCAGTGTGAGCCACCACCATGCTTCACAGTGGGGATGATATCCTTGTCACTACAGACCCTGTTGACCTGTCTCCAAAAACAGTGCTTATGGTTATGACCATAAAGCTCTATTTTGGTCTCGCCACTCCAGATTACAGTGTGCCAGAAGCTGTGAGGTGTGTCAAATTGTTGTAGGCACATGGTAACCGGGCTATTTTTGTGACATTGGCAGTAAAGCCTTCTTTCTGGCAACTCGACCATGCAGCTAATTTTTGTTTAAGTATTGTCATATTGTGCTCTCTGAAACAACCACACCATATTTTTTCAGAGCAGCCTGTATTTCTCCTGAGGTTACCTGTGAATTTTTCCTTGTATCCCAAACAATTTTTCTGGTAGCTGTGGCTGCAATTTTTTTTGATCTACCTAACCTTGGCTTGGTATCAAGAGATTCCGGAATTTTCCACTTCTTAAGACGTGACTGAACAGTACTGACTGGCATATTCAAGGCTTTTGATATTTTTTTGTATCCTTTTCAATCTTTATAAAGTTCCATTACCTTGTTCCGCAGGTCTCAACAGTTCTTTTCTGCTCCCCATGGCTCAGTATCTAGCCTGCTCAGTGCATCCACGTAACAGCTAACAAACTCATTGACTATTTATACACAGACACTAATTGCAATTTACAAAGCCACAGATGTCATAAATTAACCTTCAATTGCCATTTTAACCCGTGTGCGTGTCACCTTGTGTGTCTGCACCAAGGCCAAACATTTCAGGGGGCGGAGACTTTTGATCCGGGCCATTTGGGTGATTTCTGTTATCATTATGATATAAAGAGTAGCCAAATGACCATGTGATAACAAATGGCTTCATATGATCATCATCCTTAAATAACAGCATTTTTGGCATGATCAGTCATATTTTCAATACAAATACCAAAATTTAACGATTTCTGACAGGGTGTGCAAGCTTTTGAGCACAACTGTATATGGTAAAGCACAGGAGCCCCATGCAGTGTCCAACTGCAGCTGTGTCCTACACATGGCATACACTAGAGCAACCCCAGAGCCCTCCACCACAATCAGAGTTACTCATTACTCATACGAAGTCCATCTACGTCGGATGGAAGGGCTGGGGAGAGAATTCACAAGTCAGTATAAGAACAGCAGGAAATATATAACAAGGAATGGACCAGAAGAGAGAGAGACAGAGAGGGGTAATGGGGGTACAGATAAAGGGGTGGGGGAGGGGGTTGAAGAGAGAGAGAAGAATAGGTAAGAGAGAGAGAGACACCATATTACCTGTCATTGTCTATGAGCAGAGCCAGACGTCCATAATCCCAAGCCGCCTTCCTCAAGCATGAGAACACCAGGAGCAACAACTGTGAGGAAGTTCAGAATAATATTAGGTCAGTAAACCAAGCTAACACCAGCAAACCTTCTAATGCCAGCATACCCTCCAACACGATCACATCCTCTAATACCAGGAAAGCCTCTAACACTGTCATACCCATCTACGCTACACTGTGGCCAAACATTCAAGGACATCCCTCCATACAAAAATATTTTAGACAACTATAGGCATCCAATTTTGTGGCAATCGTTTGGAGAAGGTCCTTTTTAATTCCAGCATGACTGTGTCCCTCTGCACAACATCAGCACCATAAAGACATAGTTTGTCCAGTTTGGAGCAGAAGAGAACTCAAGTGGCCTGAACAAAGCTCTGACCTCAACCGTACTGAACACCTTTAGACAACTATGGGCTTTCAACCTTGTGGCAACAGTTTGGAGAAGACACTTTTGCGTTCCAGCATGACAGTGCCCCTGTGTACAAAGCCAGCTTTATAAAGACATGGTTTGACCAGTTTGGTGTAGAGGAACCCAAGTGGCCTGCACAAAGCTCTGCCCTAAACCCTACTGAACACCTTTGGGATGAACTGAAATGTTGATTGTGAGCCAGGTCTTCTCATCCAACATCAAAAGGGTGTAACTTCTCACAGACACACTCCAACTCTGTTTGTTAGGGCCACAAAGGGGAACAATGCTATACTAATGGCCATGGATTTGGAATAGGATATCATATAAGTGTGATGGTTAGGGGTACGCAAACGTTTGGCCATATGGTGTATATCAGCATGTCAACCTAATACTGGAACACAGTTATTAAGAACATATTCAAATAATATCCAAATATCTTAAAATTCTATCATGTCTATAGCTACGTAATACTAGCCACGTAATGTGCAAGCACAAAGCCAACTTACACCAGATATGTGATATAATAGCAGCAGCCCCTGTAATGTCACCCTGTACAACCTTCTACCCACACCCTGCACCCGGACTGGTCCCCCACACACAACCTCCATACCAGCCAGGCAAGAAAGTTGATGGCGAGAACGGTGGGGACTCCTCCGAACGGCAGGCCCTGGATAACCGTGCTGCGTGAACGAGCACTGTAACATTGGTCCGTCACATTTCCTGGAGGCTCCTCCGTCACCAGGGGCTCTATGGAGGTGAATGTCTCGAAGAAGGCATCCATATTGCCACTGTAAAACACACCAACTTATGTCAGAGGAGTACCAAGACCAGTAACACACAGAAACCAATGAAATTTCAATATTCCAGAACAGTGAGAGGTGACCAGTCATGTGTTAGGACATTCATAATAATAGTTCATGGTGGACTGGTGCATTTTTCTGTCCTACAACATCTCTCCCCCATTCTCCACAAAGGTATGGATAGGATGTGCCCAGTGTGTTTAAGGATGAAATCATGTGAAACAATGGGTATGATATGAGTGAGGAAGTCACAAACAAAAGGATGTGGGGTGAGGAGATCACAAACAGCAGGTTTTATGATCTTGATGAGGAGGTCACAGAGGGACAGGTATGATCCAAGGTGAGGGTTGAGGAAGTCAGAGGGCAGGGCATGATCCAGGTGAGGGGTGAGCAGGTCACAGAGGGAAGTGTATGATCCAGGTGAGGAGGTCACAGAGGGAAGGCTATGGTCTATGCGAGAAGGTCACAGAAGAACAGAAGAAAGAGTATGTTGCGATTAAGGAGGTCAACGTGGGAAGGGTGTAATCAAAGTGTGGAGGTCACAGAGGAAAATGTATGACCTGGGTGAAGAGTGAATAGGTCACAGAGCCTTGGAAGGGTATGATCCAGGTGTTCAAGGTAAAGGGTTAGGAAGTTAGAGGGAAGGGTATGATATGGGTGAGGAGGTTACAGAGTGAAGGGTATGAGCCAAATGAGAAGGTCACAAAGAAAAACATATGATCAGGGTGAGGTGGTGACACAGGAAAGGATGTGATCCACATGAGGAGGTCACAGAAGAACAGAATAAAAGGGTATTTTGGGGTTAAGGAGATCAGCGTGGGGAGTATGATCCAGGTGAGGAGAGGTCACAGAGGAAAGGGTATATTCCAGGGGAGGAGGTATCAGAGGGAAGGGTAAAATCCAAGTGCGTTGGTCACAGAAGGAAATGTATGACCTGGGTGAGGAGGGAAGATGTCACAAAGGGAAGAGTATGATCAGGGTAAGGGGGTCACAGAAGAAAGGGTATGATCCAGGTGAGGGGTAATGAGGTTACAGAGGGAAGAATATCATCTGGGTAAGAGATGAGGATGTTACAGACAGAAGGAAGGTTATGATCTAGGTTTGGGGTGAAGAGCAAAGGGTGTAATCTGGGAGAGGAGGTCACAGAGAGAAGGATATGATTGGGGTAACCTGGACAAGGGGAAAGGAGGCCAGAAATAAACACAGAATGATCCGGTTGAGGAGATCACCCTAGGTATGATCCAGGTGAGGGGTGTGTGAGAGTTCAGAGGAAAGAGTACGACCTAGATGACAAGTGAGGAGGTCACCACGAGAAAAGTGTGTTTCAGGTGAGGTAGTCAGCGAAAGAAGGGTATGATCCAAGTGAGGGTGAGTGGGTCACCAAGAGAACAATATGCCTTGGATTAGTCTTCCACAAAGAGAGGGTTAT